TAATTCACCATGTAAATTAATTCACCATGTAAATTAATGATACTCACAAAGACTTGCTCTCACCCACTATGATAATTATCATAAAGTTAGAATGAAACATTTTTATTTTCAGCTTTAGAACATAAAAATGTTGGCTCAAGAAATCACATTTGGGCTGGGCATGTTGGCTCATGCCTGTAATCCTATAATCCTAGCACTCAGGGAAGCCGAGGAAGAAGGATTACTTGAGCTCAGGAGCTCGAGACCAGCCTGAGCAAGAGCAAGACCTGAGTCTCTACTAAAAATAGAAAAAGTATCTGGGCATGGTGGTGCACCTATAGTCCCAGCTACTCACCTGTAGCCCCAGCTACATGGGAGGCTGAGGCAGGAGGATCACTTGAGCCCAGGAGTTTGAGGTTGCAGTGAGCTATGATGATACCACTACACTTTAGCCAGTGACTCTCTCTCCAAAGAAAAGAAAGAAAGAAATTGCATTTGGTCAACATATATCATTTGATCAATAAAAAAGTTTTTTCCTTGCCCAAAATAAAAAATTCTAAGGTTAAGAAAAAGAGAGTAAAATCCAGTATGTTTTCTCTCTGCTTTTTTCAAGACCTAGCATGACTTTGATTACTTCAAAGTATACCGTGAAAATTTTCAAAAGCTATTCAAAATAAAATTATTTTTAACTGACTTTAGTTGAAAAGTTTAATATCTTTTTTTTTTTTTAATATAGAATGCTTCACAAATTTTCATGCTGTCCCTGCTCAGGGGCAGTTGTCTCTGTATCATTCAAATTTTAGTGCTGCCAAAGTAAGCACTCTATTTTCTTTTTTTTCTGTAAACTATTTTATTTAGGACAAACTTGAGACTTGGTGGGTCTACGCGTTTCTTCAAAGCACATCCTACTAATCAGCAGTGGAGAGAGCTCCCATAACTGGTCTCCAGTGGCCCAATGCACTTTCCACTGCATCACCGACAGACTCCCTTCACTACGCACCCCTCCAAGGCAAGCAAAGTCACTTCCACAGCTGAACCCCCCAATGTCCAAAACTCTCATTTAAAAAACTCCATAAACTCCAGAAACTGAAAGGAAAAGGATGAAGCATGTATCATCTTTTCCTATAGCATCCAAATCACTTCTTTATTCAATAGGCTTTAGACGCTCTTTCACCACCGTTATCATGGTGGTGGTCTGAGGGTGAACAGATGATCTGTGGACACTTAGGAGGCTTAACAAGCCCATTGAATTAAAAAAAAAAAATGGCCCGTGGAACTTGGTATCCTCTAAAGTTGCCCGAATTTTACAACTCAGGGTCTCTGGGAACCCGGAAAAAAACCCTCACCAGAAAAGAAACAAATGGGGAGCAGAGAAATCAGACTAGAGTCATTTTTATCCTCAACTCCTTGGGGTGGAAACCGAGGACATAGGTGACCAGAAGGGACGTGCAGACTCCCTCTCCCCAGTCCCAGGAATATCCATCCCAGTCCGGAAACCAAAACTTCGTTCCTTTCCCGCCTGAACCCAGAGATGTCTCTGCTGGGAGACAACGCATCCTGCCACTGAGGCTGGGACGAGGGATGGGGACATGGACCTCCCTCCACCCCGTCTGGGGGCGTCCTGCTGAGAGGGGCAGCGGAGCACGCCGCACACATCCACCTCTGTCCCCGCCTGTCCTCCCCGGCAGCACCCACGTCTAGCTGGGAATCCCAGAGAATACTGGGGTGCTGGGATAGAAAAGGGCTTCAGCACTTTGCATTTATAAGTCTTGTTTTTATAAGTCTCTGTCTCACACACACACACACCCCTCCTACTAAAGTGTTAAACTTGTATCATTGATTTACCTGATAAGGCTGAAAACTTGAAATCTGAGCTGTCTGGTTCTCTGATCTTACCAAATGACCTTGAGTTAGTCATTTAACCCCTCAGCTTTGGTTTCCATATCATTTAGACAAACCCATTCCTCTCAGAGTCTGATGTCATAGGGATGTGGTTAAAAAACAGCGTGCCAACATTTTGAGCTCCTGAGAGATGAGCTCCATTTAATCCAATCAATGAATATTATTCTCTAGTTCTTTAGAAAGACACTCTATGGAAAGTCTAGCAGATGATGCTGGCTAATTAGATATGTCACACCTACATTGTTTAACTATACAGTGAGTTCTGTCTGAACGTGACACTCTTGTATAGCAGGTGCTCCATATGCTTCTCTGTTTATTAATGTACTGGTCTAGAAGACACAGAGTTGGACAACGGGTGTGTCATGTAAACTATACTCAAATATGTATAAACAGCAGAATTTTCTTAAGAAGAGTTGATATACTTTTCAAAAATCTGGTTACTTGGTAGGGAATAAGAAGAACTATTGTTTCTGTTTGGGAACGACAGTTTTCTTTAGAAAGTGTAGAATTGTTGATTCTATAAATATGGAGTGTTTCCTAGCTTTGAACACAGGCATCAGGCCAAGTTAAAGTGTCATATATAAACCAAGCTTCTGTAGTACAGCCTTCTTAAAACACAAGGTCAAGGGCAATGTGGTGGTTTAGGAAGTGAAAAAGCAGTGGGTTTTAGAAACACACATTTCAGTTTGCATTCTGGCAAATTTCTTGACTGAGCCTGTGGGTTTTTCTGTTTGTTTTGTTTTTATTTTTATTTTATTTTAATCCATAGAATGAAAATAATAGTATTACCTCCTGCCTAGGGTCATATTGAAGATTAACTTCTTTTCTTTTTTCTTTTCTCTTCCCTTTCCCCTCCCTCCCTCCCTCCCTCCTTCCCTCCTTCCCTCCTTCCCTCCTTCCTTCTTTCCTTCCTTCCTTCCTTCCTTCCTTCCTTCCTTCCTTACTTCCTTCCGGAATTAGAGGGCTGTGGACACCTTATAAAATATTAGAAAGTTAGGAAGTAAATTTAGGTCAGCCTTGGTTTACCCCTTTGGATAGACATTCTTTAAGGCGGTAAAAGGAGCTGTGTTTTATGTTGTAACTTTTCCCTCTTTTATGCTCTCATAGGCTCTCTGTTTTCTTCTCTGTTGCCCTTTTCTAATTCTCCATTTTTGTCATGTTACTGCCCAACCATATTCACTGTCCGTTGCTCAGGAGGAAGCCAATACACTGAGTCGGCAGGTGTTACAGCAGAGAAAGGGTTTAATACAGAAGGTGCCATGAGAAGAAATGGGAGCAGTTTCTCAACTCCATTAACCTGAAAATTTGGGAGAAAGGGTATTTTAAAGACAGTTTGGCAGGCAAAAGGCTAGGCAATTGGGTCTGCTAATTGGCTTGGCTCAGGGCAGAACCATGGGGGTGTAGAAATTGTCTTTTTTGCTGAGTTGGTTCTTGGGTGGGGGACGCAATACAAGTTGAGTCAGTTCCTCGGTATGGGCCACTGGTCTGGGTGGGTCATCCATTCCACCAGAATTCAGGGCCTGGAAGATATCTCAAAAACTAGCTTTAGGCTTCCCAACAGTGATGTTATCTATGGGGAAGTTAAGAATCTTTATCACCATCAGCCATGTTACTCCTGAGTGGCAGTTATAGGAAAGGAAACAAGGGAACAGTGGCTGGTTTGTTTTTTTTTTTAGCTACACCTTACCTTTGCAGAGTTTTGGGCTCTTATCACAGTTCTTGCTTTGTACCACTTTATGACTTTATAAAGGGTGGTTTTAATGATCCCTAACATTTTGAAACCTCCTCTGAATTAATTCACTTTACTAGGTCCTTCAAATGCCCATACATGAATACCAATGGACATTTCTTTAAAATTGTACGGACTACCTTTAGCCTTTGTCCCTACTCCATGGCATATACTTTTGGTTTAGTTCTGAAGAAAATGCTCTGAACCACATACAAAGTTTTTAATTAAAAATTCTAATTATCATCCTCCTGCATATTAATAGTATGTAGGGAAGGAAAAACTTTTCTCCTACCCTCTTAGATTATGTGCCTAGGGCCCGCAAATTAAACTAACAAAAGATAGATTAACAGGAGAAAAAGGCATACAAATTTTACTGATGTTTATATTTTTAATTTTACATGAACAAGGACTTCACAGAAAAGAAGCGAAAACCCAAAGAGGCAGTTAGACCTGGGGGTTTATATATAATTTTATACAGAGGGCGATAAATTGTGGAAAACTGACAAGACAAAGGAAAGGGGACTTTGGACTCCTAGGACAGTAAATTGTGGAATGGTGACTAGGAAATGTATGGTAGATCAGGTTTGTTTAGTAAGGTTTGTTAGGGAGGGGCATCTCTGTACAGTCTCCAGGGTCTAAGAGTCTTCTCTTCCTAATATGGGAGAGAGGGACACATTTAAAAATGGAAATTTTCCATATAAGAGACAAATATATGCCCTGATTTTATGCAGATGGGGAGGGCAGAGAGCTCCTCTTATGTCTGCTATTTCTTAATAGCCTTCAGATAAAAATAATCCTTATGCCAAAGTGACATATTTTGGGGTGACATATTCTGATCTCTTCAAATACAATAGTTGGGAAAACATTCTATTTTAATAAGAATATAAAAGGCTAATATGTATTTAAATATAGTCATGGATAAAGGTATATGCCGACATAGCTATATAAGTATTTATCCTTTCAGTCAGCACTGCTTTGAAACCCAGCAAGCACATCCCTTTATACAACACACCTTCTTCTAATATATTTTGTTTGCTATGGTGAACATGTGATTATTTTCTTGTAGAGACAGGATCTCACTGTGTAGCCCAGGATGGTCTCGAACTCCTGGCCTCATGCAATCCTCCCACCTCAGGCTCCCAAGGTGCTGGGATTATAGGCATGAGCCACTGTACCCAGCTTAATTATTTTATTGATTTACAAAACAAACAACAGGGAGCTCACTCTAGTCCTTCCACAGCAATGAAGGTTGGCTATGGTCATTTTGAGGTCACTAACATTGACTTATTTATACCTGTACTTATAGCACGATGCCTATAGTGAAAGAGTCAATGAATGACTTGCACTTACAGATTATATTTTTCCATTCTGGTTTTCTGTCTGACAGCAGCAGCGTGCAGGGTCAAAGACAGCTGGCCCCCCATGTCAGTGGTCTAGGATGGCCAGTGAAGGCACCAACATCCCAAGTCCTGTGGTGCGTCAGATTGACAAGCAGTTTCTGATTTGCAGTATATGCCTGGAACGGTACAAGAATCCCAAGGTTCTCCCCTGTCTGCACACTTTCTGCGAGAGGTAAGCCGCCTGTGAGCTTGGAGAAGGGCTGACCTCCTACGGCCTCCCATTGTACTCTTTCCCAGAATTCTGCAGTTACCTTTTGGGAGACAGCAAATCTCTTGTGCTTCTGATAGACATCAAAAACCAGAATCAGGAGTTGCCAATAATTTACTTTATTTCAAGTGCTTACATGGAAAAAAGCAATCCAGTAACTACTGATTCGTTTCCACAGGAGATGGAGCATTAAATAAGTATTTTAAGATGAAAATCTTTTTAAATTTTTCCCTTTGTTCTTTGTGAAACAGTTTTTGCCAACAGCAATCCCCTAAAGAGGGTCTTTGGTGAGGGGCAGTTAAAAATCTATCATTTCCTCTATATTACAAATCAAGTAAAACACCTGCACATAGGAGGTGTTAGTTCAAAGGTCAGAGCTTCCTTTCCAGAGATACTTTAGATGCATGCCAATGTCACATTTGAACACTATGATGTTTTAGGTAAAGAAAAGAACTATAAATATACATATATAATAAATTATCTGACTATGTAGTTTACTGTATATAAAAACATACTTCTTTATCCTTCTTGATAGAGTATTTTTTTGAGAGGTTGTTAATCAGTTATCGAAATATACTTTTACCCCATTCTTTAACTTATCATATAAACAATTAAGCATAAGAAGTTTGTTAGTAATTAGTTTATCTGTGGCTTATTTGTATTTCCCTAGTAACGTCATATATCTTTCTTAAAAACAAATGTGGTAATTATATTTTATAACATTTTTTAAAATACATTTTATATTATTATTTAATGTGCTTCAGTTGCTGTTACAGAGCAGGAAGTCAGTATTTCAAATGGATTCAAATCTATGCTGATTACATTTATCGTACATTTGTTATCGGAATAATCATTCTTTGAGTTGATTAATTTTGGAAGGTCTCAGTTGCAGAAGAGTAACCACATCGTTGGTGGTGGTGATGGAAAGGAGGGAGATGGTAGATTTGTTACTGGTAGTTGTGGTTTTTTTATTGTTCTGTGTGTGTGCGTGCTCATGAGTCTCCATGCACACATGCATGGATATGGGGAGCTTTTGTTAGAGACAGCATCTCTTTCTGTTGCCCAGGCTGTAGTGCAGTGGCACAGTAATAGCTCACTGAAGCCTCAAACTTCTAGTTTCAAGCGATCCTCCTGCCTCAGCCTCCTGAGCAGCCGGGACTACTGGTGCACGCCACCACACTTGGCTAATTTTTTAATTTTTTGTAGAGATTTTTCTTGTGTTGCCCAGGCTGCTCCTGAACTCCTGGGCTCAAGCGATCCTCCCACCTCAGCCTCCCAAAGTGCTTAGATTACGGTGTGAGCCACCACGCCTAGCCAATATGGAGATTTTGTTTCTTTTAGTGGCAGTATACAGGACACTAATACTTTTTATTTTATTCATTTTATGCTTAGACTTTAGTGCTTTATAATTCATATTTGAAAATAATTAAATAGGGTGTAATTCTCCCCACCACCCCCTTCCCCCCACAATGGGTATAACTAAAACACAGACACCAACTAATCTGGGTGTCCCTGGGTACATGTGGTAGGCCTCAGCATAGCCCGGCCGGCGGTCCATAGAGAACACGGAGAGCCACTCAGGCTGAGCTTGGTAAAACTGCCCATTCCCCAGTGTTCAGCGCCCAGTCAGTCTGTTTTTTGGGTCCTATTTCCTCACTCTGACCGGTCTGCCCCACCCTCTCCATTGGGTCTAGCCCAGCCCACCTCTGTGCCCCATCCCATAGCCAGTGGTGGAGATCTGGGAGATCCTGCCATAGCAAGTCCCTGTGGAATGCTGTGTCTCCAGTCGTTCCAGCATCATGCACAGTGAAATTGTTTCCTTTCGGAAGTGCTGCCAACTTTCCTTAAGATGGGAAATGTTTGTTGAGGTAGAGGCAAAACTTCACAGCTGTCTCACTGTTGGGAGATGGAGCCCTAGGAGCCTTATGTCCGGCTTCTGCTGGACATCCACACTGGCTACTCGGAGAGCAGCTCACGGTCACTCTCTCAGCCCCACATATTCCAAAACACCATCCACGGGGCTTGAAGGAGAGCAAAACTGGACATGGTCACTGGCGTCATGGAGCTTACAGCCTAGTGGAGGAGCTAGTCATTAACCCCCTAATCCCTCAGATTAATGTGGAGTTAAACCAGTGACAAGCGCTATATACCAGAAGTACATAGGAAATCATATAATAGGGGAATTTGCCCTCAGCAGGGAAGGCTTCCCTGCAGAAGTGATGATTAAGCAGAAAACCCCAACAGTGAGTGAAAATTAACTAAGCAAAGGGGAGTGAGTAGAAAGAAAGAATTTAAGGTATATGCAAAGGTGCTGTAGTGAGAGGGACTGAGGCGGGAGGATCACTTGAGGCCAGGAGTTTGAGACCAGCCTGGGCATCTCTACAAAAAAATAAAAAGAAATTAGCCAGGCATGATGGTACACACCCATAGTCCCAGCTACCAGGGAGGCTGAGGCAGGAAGATTTCTTGAATCAAGGAATTCTAGGCTGCAGTGAGCTGTTATCATGCCACTGTACTCTAGCCTGGGTGACAGAGTGAGTCGAAAGGAAAGAAAGAAGGGAAGGAGGGAGGGAGGGAGGGAGGGAGGGAGGAAGGAAGGAAGGTCTGAGCCTCTTCTGCGGCAGGCTGCGGCGGGCAGCATTCGCCTCGACTCAGCGAGTCGTCCGAACAACCAGCATCGAGCCAGAGTGACGACCGTCTCACTATACAAGAAAGAAATTAATTCTGGCCAACCAATATATACTAGAAAAAATTAGCCAGGCATGGTGGCGCATGCTGTAGAAGTCCCAGCTACTTGGGAGGCTGAGCAAAGGATTGCTCAAGCCCAGGAGATTGAGGTTGCTGTGAGCTAGGCTGACGCACGGCACTCGCACTCTAGCCTGGGCAACAGCATGAGGACTCTGTCTCAAAAAAAAAAATAAAACATCTTCCTGGGGAATGTAGATGTGATTGCGCTACTACTATGATAGGTAAGGGCTTCCATTTCCAATAACTACCCAATTTTGCTATTTTGATTAAATAATGATATGCTTTTGGAAGACATTTAGGGTTTTTTCATAAACAATGCTGTTACCTACCTGTAATTTAGTGCATTGTGGTGCAGGAACGTGGTTTACACAATGGAAAAATATAGTGATGTTTTCTTTGTAAGCCAGTATAAGACTGATTTCAACTGCTCAAGTTCTCACAATCTTAATTGCTTAGCTTACAGATTCTAGCGGCGGCGCGGTGGCTCAACCTGGTAATCTCACACTCTGGGAGGCCGGAGGCCCGGGTGGATTGCTCGAGGTCAGCGAGTTCGAAACCAGCCTGAAGCAGAAGAAAGACCCAATCTCTACTGATCAAAATACGAAACAGAAAGATTAATTGGCCAACTAATATATATATCATATATATACTATTAAAGATTAGCCTGGCATGTGGGTGCAATGCCTGTAGTCAGCACTACCTGGGAAGCTTGAAGGCGAAGATTGCTTGAGCCGAGGAAGTCTTTGCAGGTTGCGTAGTAGGAGGCTGACGGCCACGGCCACTCACCTCTACTGGGCAACAGCGAGACTCTGGTCTTCCAAAAAAAAAAAAAAAAAAACAGATTCTAAGCACATGCCTTTTTATTCTGCGGGAAAGCAGATTCTCAGTGAAGAAGTGGCCTCTTCTCTGAAAGTTTCTTCTTCTCTTCCTGCAGGCTATCGATAGCTA